GTTTTCAACAAATTTCAACAAAATTCAAGATGACAAAAAAAAAATCAAATATGCTGGAAAAGATGTATGGCTTGTCCAAACAACTTATTAATTACTGCTATAATTATTTCCTATAATTTCAATTGAAACACAAGAAGGTAGTGGAACGTAACTAATTTTAGTCATCTAGCAAGTGTTATAGTTGGATACTTAAAAGGGAGTAAAAAACAGTGAAGTTGGAAGATGAATTTGTTGTGATACTCCGATGACTAAGCATGACCAAAATCAAACCATAATTGTAATGCTTTTTAACTGTTACCGTATTAAATAGTATGTTTGGTTTTTGCAAACTATTTGTGTTTGGGATTAAAAAGCACAAACTAACACAATGATCTGAGAATTTCTGCTGTAACGTCCCCTTGGTATGTGTAAAGTTAAAGTATCTAATGAAAAGAAACGAAATATTGAACTTAAAAACTTGAAAGGAAAAACTTAAACTAGAGAAAGCCTGCATTAATTCATAACCGTGACATTAACTGTTAAAACTAAACTAAAACCAGTACTCTTAATCCACAAACGTCCTAACATATCTCTTGTGTTATAAGTATAGTTAAAATTAAACTAAAATCGTAATCTTAATCCAGAAACCTCTTGTGTTTGATTTGATATCGCATTTATAAAACTCAAATACAAACAAATACTATATACTGAGAAGATAATGACATAAAATTTGCAGACTTGTAGATCTTATCTTGGATAGATCATTAATCATATTTTCCGAACCTTCAAGCTATAAATAATACTCCAAAAATATGATATATGGATTTTTTTCATTTTCGTATAAAAATATACACAGAGACACACAGTGGCGCACGTGCGATTGAGAGTGTGGGGGCGGAGAGGTAATAGCGTGTACTGATGGAACACCGTAAGTACTGTGAAAGCGACCAATGGGAGAAGCCCTACTGTTTTTAGTATAATGTCACGTCCCATCTACAACTCATGTGGGTCCCATTCGTAATTTTGATCTAACGGCTGAGAGTTAAACCTTGTTTTCATAACCTATCATCGTACACCGCTCACTTCCGCGCTCTACCCTTTCTTTCTAGGGACAACCATACACTGTCCTATTCTCCTTCCTCTTCTTCTTATAATGCATTTTCTCTGTTCTTACGTTCAAAAGTCATCCTATACTTACTTAATTTATTAATTAATATACCCGTCATTTCACTATATATATCGCCGACAGAAATATATATATCGTATACACAGTAACAAAGGTTTCGCCTGAGACTTCTGTGACTGATTCAGTAAAAGAATTTGATTATATACATGTTCTCTGTACATAATAAACAGGTATGTTTTCAGTTTGTCAAATGAGATTTTGTTCTGCAAAACCAAACTTAGTGGATACTAGACCACTAGAGTACGTAAAATGCATTTCTTCCATTTTAAAATCAGTTTAGTTATTTTTTCTTCTACGTATATTAATTTAAGAGCAACTTAAAAATGACATGTTACTGATATTTTTAACTTCGTATATATACGAGTTCAAACCAGCAAAGTTAATTGGTGACCTATATAGAAAACTAACTACTAAAGTACTACGTACGATATTAAACATTTCTAAGCTGTAATATCGGTTACGTTGGAAAGGAGAAAAGAAAAACAACTCCCAATTGCAACATGAATACGAAAACATATTGATACTAAAAAATAAAACCAGAAGCTATATAGTCTCATGGGTTATTTTGTGTCTCCACCACATTAGCCGAATCTTCTAGCAACTGAAGTCCATGCTATTGAGGATTTTCAGTCATGCACTTATATTTATAAAAAAAAAATACCCAAAAAGATATGACGACGGTGCTGATCAATATTTGTATATGATGATGCTTCCAACGTTGCCCTTGTTACGTCAAGAAAATGCACGTGTTTCCTCAGGGTAGTATTGTCATTTGCTTCAGCTGAATGATCACAATGTTTACAGTTGGGAAATCAAATTTTTCTCAATGAAAAATACTTCGAATTAAAAAAGTACATTTTGTAATTGAAATTCGTTAATCTGAACTACGATATTTCAATATTTGTTTAGTCACGCTTTTAATCAAATATTAATTTTGTTCGTCTTCAGATCAAAAATTAATAAAAACGTGAACCACAAACAAACATGTTTATTCCTTATTTCAAATTATAGCTGAAGAAATCAGATTCGAAAATTTCCGAAGTGCGTGTCTATATACATATTTAGATGATGTTAAAAATATACATGTATAAGCATATTGCCAATTTTGCCCTCTCTGACATGCAATTCGAACAATTATAATTCATACATGAATAAAGAAAAAAATATAGAATAAAGAAAGCCTAAAAGCACGTCCTGTCATTTTTATCAGGTGATTTCACTGTCTATCTTGACTTATTGTTATAAATATGAATATATTTATTAATAATTCCATTCCATTTTCACATTACACAATCAAATAATGACGCAAAAGAATATAGCCAAGGAAAAGAAGGAGCACTTAATTATGATTTATGACAGACTTGCGTCCGACCATAATTCTCAAATATATATAACGCAAAATAATTCGCACAAATTAAATTTCATTTTGTAGAATACAAAAATATAAAATTGTCTAGAAAGTGAATTTGATTTGTTCTTATACTGTGAACAATGAACGTTGACTGTTTTTTGTTGGTGTTGACGACAGTTTTTTGGAATTCATCGACCAATTAATTTGTTCGCCAGTTATTTTTTATATATATTTTGGTAAGTATAAATAGGTCATTCGAAGCTTATGGCCAAATTTAACTCTACTTCTAGTTTGATTGGGATCGGGATTTCGATCTTCAATTTTCAGGTGTTGGGAAGTGATTTTGAGACAACAACATGGTTATGGCTTCTTAATGAAAAGTGAGGTTTTCTTTTTTAAACTATATTTAATGTTAAAAGTCAGAATGAGACAACACAATCAGATGAAAAAAAACTGAAAAATCGAGAGAAGAAGAAATTTTGGATATTAATTAGGCCATGTTAAGAAGTGATCTTTCCATAAGGGGATGGAGGTTTTTGGGAAGCCTAGCTTAGGTGAAGCGGGTTCATTAACTGAAACTTTCGGTGATACATGAACGTAAGAGATGGATAATTTTGACGTAAGGTCATATTAATGCTTTTTAGTATGCGGTATGAAATGGATTCGCGTGTTTGTTTGTGGAGTGGCAACGACATGAATTTCTTGATCTATCTTCTCCAATTCCAACCATCTCTCATTTTCCACTTTGTAACTAATGGATGGGTATTTATAGAAAAGTTACATGATCCAAACAGTGGGACCAAGTTTTTAGTAGTTGGGTCAAGTCTCTATGGTCGTAAGGCTCTATGCAACCGATTGCGGTGTGCTTTCTATGAATATGTTACGGTGTTTAACTGTTTATATAGCCCTAGTTCGGTTAGAGAGCTCATGTACCATATAGCTGACGGATGTTCATATGTTTGATGCAAACATATGTTTCCATAAAAAAACACAAGAGGCATGGTTTTTTCGTTTCTATACGAAGAATTATGTATGAAATAAATATTGAGTTAATTGGTAGTTTAGGAACATGAATTTCTCGAATGTGGAGAAAACAAGTTACAATTCCATCGTATATCAATTGTACGAGAGACTGGATGAATTAGACGTTATGTAAAATAATTATAACTGGTTGGTTCTCTAGTAAATGCGATTTATCGAGCGACGCATATAATTTTAAAACATGATTGAAGTATATGAAATGTATGAGGGTACAACGTATTATCAATTATCATATACACACAAGTGAAACATTATAAAATGAAAAATTGTATCATATAATATATTTTGGTTACATCGACGACGCAACGAAGTTTCGAAACTCGGGAGGAGCATAGAATTAAATAAAAAAGAGGCACGAGTCCCCAACTGTAATAAATCCGGCAATAAGGGGTAAATGAGTAACTTCATCGTGTACTATCGGGACAACAAGTTGCTTTAAAAATGTTTTAGCAAAAAATCAAAGACCCGCTCCGTTCGGGTTCGGGTCAAAACAGCCATTGTCGTTCTTTCTTCTTCTCTGATTCAAATAAGAAAGAGAGAGAGAGAGAGAGAGAGAAGTAAGTAACTCAAGCAGAGGATATCAATACCAATAATAATAAAACTAGCAGAAGCTAGCACCGCCACGTCGTCGCCGTCTTCCTTTACCGGAGAAATCATTCTCACAAACCAAAAAATAAAACCCGTCTCTTTCTATCTATCTTTGTCTGTCTCTTTTTTTTCTTTTGGTTTCTTTGATTATTCCCTCTGTACCCATGTTCTGCAACAGTAGAGCAGTGCATGCCCATAGCTTTCTTCTCATTCCCCGATCTTCACATTAACCATCATAGTCCTGGGATCTCGATTTCTCTCATAAAGCTTTTAACGAAAAACCAAACCCAGCTTTAAAGAGGATCTACTATTGTTTAAGGCTGAAACGACTCCACGACCTGTCGTTTTATTTGAGCTCGAGATCTGCGTTTTTTGCTTTTTTCGGCTTCTGAGCTTTTTGGCGGTGGTGGGGTTTTTCTGGAGAAAACCAAACGAAAATCAAAGTTGGTTTTTTTTTTTTTTTAATATTCTTCTTCATTTAATGGGGGTTATCAGAGGTTAATTAGACAAGTAATGAAGGAGTTGAAGATTCGAAGAAGCGGCTTTGAAGTCGGCGAGTCGAAGATTGGCTGATAAAAAAAAGTCCGGATTTGGTTCATGTGTGTGTGCTTTTTTTAATTTTCATTTCTGTGAGGAGGAGGAGGAGAAGAAATCTAGTTTTTTTTTTTTTCCTTTTAGGGTTTTTGGATTTGTTGAAAAGATTTGGTTGGTGAATGGGTGGGAGGTGGAGGGAAACAGTTAATAAAGTTATGCTTTTGGTGTCTCCTCGTCATTATTACATTTGGGCATCTTGAAATCTTGGATCTTTGAAGAAACAAAGTTGGAATTTTTTTTTTTAAGTAAGTTTTTTTAAAAATGAGATTGTCTTCAGCTGGGTTCAATCCTCAACCTCATGAAGGTACTATTCTAGAACTCAATTTCTCTCTCTATCTCTTGCTTGATTCTTACAAATGTAGAAACTTTTCTTTGGTTTTTGTGGGGATTTTTTTAACTAACTTTTAGTGTGTTGTTGAAACAAAGTTACAGGAGAGAAAAGAGTTCTAAATTCTGAGCTGTGGCATGCTTGTGCTGGTCCTCTTGTCTCTCTACCTCCTGTTGGAAGCAGAGTTGTGTATTTCCCTCAAGGTCACAGTGAACAGGTTTTGTTTTTGTCTCCTTCCTTAAGTTCCTTTTGGATTCAAATGTTTTGCTTTTGGTTGTTAAAGATTACTAAATCTTCTGAGAACATTTTGTTTGTTTTCAGGTCGCTGCTTCGACCAACAAAGAAGTGGATGCTCATATTCCAAACTACCCGAGCTTACATCCCCAGCTTATCTGTCAGCTTCACAATGTCACAATGCATGTGAGGAACTTGGTTTTTTTTTATCTCCGAGTGTTTTCTCTGTTTTTATGTGTTAATCAAGAACACTAATATTCCTTGAAATATCAGGCTGATGTGGAGACTGATGAAGTCTATGCACAGATGACTTTGCAACCGTTGAATGCGGTATGAGACTTTACCTGCAACCTTTATTTTTTTAATGCGGATTTGTCGGTGTTGTGAAACAAAAAGTTCTTGTTTTGAATGATGGCAGCAAGAGCAAAAAGATCCTTACCTTCCGGCGGAATTAGGTGTTCCGAGTAGGCAGCCTACGAACTACTTCTGTAAAACTCTGACTGCTAGTGATACCAGCACTCATGGAGGTTTCTCTGTGCCTCGCCGTGCTGCTGAGAAAGTTTTCCCTCCCTTGGTAATTCATCTTCTGAAGTTTTTATCTTTAACTTGGCGGTTTCCTCTTTTTAACCAGATTGTGTTCTTCAGGATTACTCCCAGCAGCCTCCAGCTCAAGAGTTGATGGCGAGGGATCTGCACGATAACGAGTGGAAGTTCCGGCATATCTTCCGAGGTTAGTTTTCTTTGTTCTTCTAGTAATAGCTGAAGAACAAAGAGGTTTATTGACTCTGCATTTGTTTCTTCCTATTAGGCCAACCAAAGAGGCATCTCCTTACTACGGGTTGGAGCGTATTCGTGAGTGCTAAAAGGCTTGTCGCTGGTGACTCCGTGCTTTTCATCTGGTTAGTACCACTTCCTCAGATTTTTGTGTTTCTTTTAAATGGTACTTGAGAATCTTGGAAGAGCTAATGTCTTTTGTTGTCAACACCAGGAACGATAAGAATCAGTTGCTTCTTGGTATAAGACGAGCCAACAGGCCACAAACTGTCATGCCTTCATCTGTTTTGTCAAGTGACAGTATGCATTTAGGCCTTCTTGCTGCGGCAGCTCATGCAGCTGCTACAAACAGCCGCTTCACCATCTTCTATAACCCGAGGTACGGCTTTCAAATCACATTTGAATCCACCTATGAGTCGTTTCTTTCCGTTTCGTGACAAAGAATTATGCTCTGCTTCAGGGCGAGTCCATCAGAGTTTGTCATACCACTTGCAAAATACGTGAAAGCGGTTTATCACACTCGCGTCTCTGTTGGCATGCGGTTTAGGATGCTGTTTGAAACAGAAGAGTCAAGTGTTCGTCGGTAGGTGATTCATCAGAATTCCTATCTATTACTCTGCCTTTTTACAGCTGAATGTGCTAAAGAAGCTTTGTTTGTTGTCAGGTACATGGGTACAATAACTGGCATTTGTGATCTTGACTCTACTCGTTGGGCTAATTCTCATTGGCGCTCCGTCAAGGTTCAGTTCAAAAACCAAACCTTTTAGTAGAAAATCTTTGCTTTCTCGTACACATATGTCATCATCTTGATCATGATTACAGGTTGGATGGGATGAGTCTACTGCAGGAGAGAGGCAACCAAGGGTTTCCTTGTGGGAGATTGAGCCTTTAACGACATTCCCAATGTATCCATCTCCTTTTCCTCTCAGGCTTAAACGTCCGTGGCCTCCAGGTCTCCCATCTTTCCACGGTATTGTAAATCTCAAAGCTTTAAACATCCCTCTGAAGTTTAGTCTTTTGCATCTTCTAATCTTGTTGCCTCTCCTTTTCTTGGCAGGTCTTAAAGAAGATGATATGGGTATGGGTATGAGCTCGCCGCTAATGTGGGATAGAGGACTTCAGTCTCTAAACTTTCAAGGTATGGGAGTAAACCCCTGGATGCAGCCGAGGCTTGATGCTTCTGGCTTGCTTGGTATGCAAAACGACGTTTACCAAGCAATGGCTGCAGCTGCTCTTCAAGACATGAGAGGCATTGATCCTGCCAAAGCTGCTGCTTCACTTCTTCAGTTCCAAAATCCCTCAGGATTCTCAATGCAGCCTCCGTCTTTAATGCAGCCTCAGATGCTCCAACAGCAACTCTCTCAGCAACAGCAGCAGCAACAGCAACAGCAACAGGCGTATCTCGGCGTTCCTGAAACCCACCAGCCTCAATCTCAAGCTCAGTCACAGTCAAACAATCTTCTTTCTCAGCAGCAACAGCAGCAGCAAGTGGTGGATAATCATAATCCTTCTGCTTCCAGTGCTGTTTCTGCTATGTCTCAGTTTGGTTCTGCTTCTCAGTCCAACACGTCACCACTTCAGTCCATGAACTCGTTGTGTCATCAGCAAAGCTATTCAGAAGCTAATGGAGGAAACAATCCGATTTCTCCGCTCCACACTCTTCTCAGTAACTTCTCTCAAGATGAGTCTTCTCAACTGCTCAACCTCACAAGAACAAACTCTGCCATGACTTCATCCGGTTGGCCATCAAAGCGTCCCGCAGTTGAGTCATCGTTCCAGCACTCTGGAGCCGGTAACAACACTCAGTCTGTGATGGAGCAGTTGGGACAGTCCCACACAAGCAACGTTCCTCCAAACGCTGTCTCGTTGCCTCCATTCCCCGGTGGAGGAAGAGAGTGCTCGATCGAGCAAGAAGGAAGCGGCTCAGACCCGCATAGCCATCTTCTCTTTGGAGTCAACATAGATTCATCTTCTCTTTTGATGCCAAACGGAATGTCAAACCTTAGAAGCATTGGCATTGAAGGCGGCGACTCCACGACTTTACCCTTCACATCATCCACGTTCAACAACGATTTCTCTGGTAATCTTGCAATGACAACACCCTCTAGTTGCATAGACGAGTCAGGTTTTCTTCAATCCTCGGAAAACATCGGTTCTGACCAACAATCTAATACATTTGTGAAGGTAAAGTCTAAGTCTTTTTTCCTTTTCCTCTCCAAAGTGTGTTTCTTTTTTAGTGATGAGCTCATGGAAAATGCTTCTGCAGGTGTACAAGTCAGGATCTTTTGGAAGATCTTTAGATATAACGAAGTTTAGCAGCTACCACGAGCTGCGAAGCGAGCTTGCTCGCATGTTTGGCCTTGAAGGCCAGTTAGAAGACCCTGTGAGATCAGGCTGGCAGCTTGTATTTGTTGACCGAGAGAACGATGTTCTTCTCCTCGGCGATGACCCTTGGCCGTGAGTTACTTACTTCCCTCATTTCCTTGTTTCTTACGTTACCAGCATTACCAAATGATCTAAAAGGTGCGACCTTTTCGGTTATTTTGATGTTGACTGCAGGGAGTTTGTGAGCAGCGTGTGGTGCATCAAGATATTGTCACCGCAAGAAGTGCAGCAAATGGGGAAAAGAGGACTTGAGCTTCTCAACTCCGCGCCATCGTCCAACAATGTCGATAAGCTCCCGAGCAACGGGAACTGCGACGACTTTGGGAACCGGTCAGACCCGAGGAACCTCGGTAACGGTATCGCATCAGTAGGGGGTTCGTTCAACTACTAGGAGTAGGAAGAGAACCCCTTTTTTAATTCAAAGTTAAGTTTAAGTTGAAAGTTTCATCTATATAAATTAGTAGTGATCCTCTTAGTTTAATTACTAGCAAGATCTCTCTTTATTACTTATATATAAAGAAAAGGGAGCTTTTGCCTTGGCCTTTGTGGAAACAACAAAACTATATAATAGCCTCTTTGTTTTCTCTCTGTCGTAATACTGTAATTATAAGATCTTTTTGGTCTTTTTCTCTTATATGAATATTTTCTTTTACTGAATTTTTTGATGTCATTTTCTTTACTCACTTCTTCAATCAATTTGATAGTGAAGTTGTTGTTTTGGAGCTATGTTGAGACTTTGTCTGACTGAGTGGCCCACGTAGAAAGTGATTTGGGTCCCAATTCCTTATTGGTTTTGTGTTTTAGTTGTGTGAAACACCGAAATATTCCGACCCGCAATTTAGGGCTTTACCCTAAAATTAGATCTCATTTTGCGTCAGCCAATAGACCTTTTTCTCTTTGACACGTATCGATCCTTAGTTCGTAGGACACTTTTTTTTGGTAGGTTAGATTAATATATGCGGCATGTCCTAAAGTTTATGGTAGTAGCATCGGAATAAAAACAATGGTTTGATAAATCATAAAAGTAGTTGAAATGAAACGAAATTGTATACGAAATGTTAATATAATAACATGGAGACTAACTAACTTATCGAAGTCGTCTTGATAACCGATTGAAATTGTAGTGAATTTGGATATATCTTGGTTAGTTATGAATCGGGCATCATTTGAGATAATAAGAAGAATCAATGATTTGGTTTGGTATTTCATATTTGGTGTCTGATTGTCCATTAAGAGAATAGAGTGAGCAATTAATGAAAGACCATCCATATAAATGTCTTCGAGTGAAATAAATAACAGATTTGATAAAGAGATATTTGTAAGTATATGGTTTTAATGTGTGGTGTATGAATGTGATTCACATATCTTTAGTGGTGGGACTATATATTCTAAGTAAGAAAATTGGGAATGGTTGAAAATAATGTTGGGTGCATGTGGTAGGGACATTTATAGATGGCACAAGTTAGGGCACTTTCATGAGCCCTAATTAAATAGTGTATGGTGACCCATCATTTTGAAAGTTCTCACTTTTTCTTTCTCTTTTAATTTTACCTATTTTATTTATTTATTTTCTTCTTTTAAAAGTTGTTTAATTTCATCCTCTTAGAAAATCAATTATTAATTTTAATTGTTCATATGATGTTGTAGCCATTCGTTACGAGGTAAAGAATAGATTCAAATGAAGATCTAAGAATATAGCTTTTGTCTATCAACACATAGAATCATATGTCTTTTCTAGATAAATGTCTTAATCATATTATCAGTCTTAATGGAATTTTCATGACAATAGTATCTCGATTTTATGATATTAGTAAGGAAGTGTTTGTTTGTTTACTTTGAGTTTCAGAAGCTGAAAGTAAACGACTGAAATTCTTTGGATTTTTTTTTTTTTTTTTTTATGTATAAAAATGCATCGATCTATATCTTTAAATATATTTGTTTTGGTCCATGAACGTAATTTGGAAGAATATCTGATTAATTCATTGGAGTAGGATCTGATAGCCAGAATTTGATCTTTCCACAACTTTAATTATATATATATATAACTTTAATTATATTGTTGATGGAATGCATAATTTCTTTTGTATAGTATAGCTAGTATTATTTCTAATTCGATCTCAGCACACTACAAATTATACATGATAAATGATACACGTAAAAAAAACAAAATTCTATTAATTTGAAAAAAAAGAGAAGTCATTTTAACAAAAAGGTTCAGAGACACTGTATCACATTAACTTGTATTTATTTTGTTGACTAGGTGTACTATATCAGAAGTGGACTGCCATTTTGCATTCAAATTTGGTTGGATTGCATGTTTAAAATATGAGATAAAGAAGATTTTGAAATTGATAATACGAAGTTCAGAAAATGAGAAACCAGCTTCCACCGTATTCAAATGGAAGTATATAATCATATAAGATAGATATATTGAAATGAAAATGAATATAACCAAAATGAGCTTTTAGAAATAAGGGGTTTTGAGTGGATATGTAATTTGTAGTTGTGCGGCTAGTTTTCTTATTTATCTCTTTTAATAACGACGAATAGAAAACGTCAAATGTGATATTATTGATAGTCGACGCACTTTTGAGCAAAGTAAATAAAGGCACTTTTCGAGTCATAAGACCAAAGAAAAATAAATTCTTTGGACCATCCTTTCGTTGTAAGGATAGTTTTTATGCGATGGAGATATATATATATATATATATATATATATATATATATATATATATTTTTTTTCTGATGGAGATTTAATTAATAACCAATATGAACTCATTTGATTGGACTTCAGACAAAAGTTTTGAGTAATCTGTGACTGTTATTGTGGAATATCTAGAATAAAATTTAGTGATGATATGAGAAGAACAAAATTTTATTTTTGTGGTATAATTAAGAGTTTCCCAAATACATATCAATCCATCTTCTACTAAATACTGAACACGATTTGTCTCGCATATAAATATCATTTAACTCATTTTTATCATTTAAAATAAAAATAAAAAGAGTTCAAAAATAAATCCATGCAAACTTGGCCTAAATATTAACGGTGGAGTTTGCATGAACTTCGAGAGCAAACAACTGCTACTAGAGTTAGATATTGATTTTTTAATCGCAACGAGAGGGAAAGAAAGATCTAACAAGTTTTATTTTTTAAAATGGATGGATGATTTGAAAAAAAATGATATTTTATAACTGCACAAGTTACATATTTTTAAATGGAAGATTTATCACAAAGAAAATATTTGGATCTACTCATTTTACAAAATAGGCTCATATGTCAAAGCCCAAATACATTTATGTAATCTTAAAGAAGACCACAAGATGAATTGTTGTTAGGTTAGTGTAACGCCCATGTTGAGTCAAACCGAATATCTCTCTTTTGGAGTTGATTCATGCGAGTGAAACCTCTGTGGAGAAGTGCTCTCGCTTACGAAAGTTTCTCACAAAAGCTTTAACCATTTCCAATTACTTTGCCGCAGTTTGTTTAATCATCTCATACCTCGTTAGGGAAGTGCAAGCTTTGTACGAACGAAAACCACAAGTGCCGAATATTTGATGGAAGTGTTATATATATCTGGTGAAACTCATGAATTGGCACAAGAGAGCAATGCTCAAATATATTAACATTAGGCCTAAAGGTCGGTCCCATAACTATAGATAGCTACTAGCTAATTACTGTTAGATTTGCAAGTAAATTCATGTACCACGTTAGAATTTCCACTTCTTTTATTAAACTGGATTTCAATTCTTGAATTTTGTTTCTATTAGTTCTGGTTAATTTGTTCCTAAAGCCAATAGCAATTCCTAATTTAACACACTCTTTTTCATTCTTATTTGAACCTATCCAACACAAAATGCATGCCATTTACATTACTACAGATGATGCAATTAAGTTGGTTTCACTTGCAGAGTGGATGAGAAGAATAACTGAAAATGGGAATAGACTACATCATGATTAGATCACACAAGAGGTATGTTTTTTGTGTTGACAAGATAAGAAGCTGTGGTGATTTACATTTATATATATGGGTTTTTTGGTATCTTCGTTTTTTCTCTCCAAAACATACAATGTCATTTCTCAGTACTCTTTATGTGTTTTCACCACTAGCTGTTTCAACTTCTCTGGCTAGATCCATAAATGGACCGAATCCTTCTCTTTTTGCTGTTAAAAGCTCAAAAACTTTTCTTTCATCAAACTTTTAGAGTTGGTTCATGCGAGTGAAACTTCTATGGAGAAGTGCTCCCACTTACGGAAGTTTCTCAAGAAAGCTGCAACCATTTCCGAGTACTTTGCCACAGTTTGTCTAATCATCTCATACCTTGTGCGAGTTACGTACGAACGAAAACCACAATTGCCAAATATTTGATGATAGTGTTCCATATATCTGGTGATACTCGTGAATTGGCACAAGAGCGCGATGCTCAAATATATTAACATTAGGCCTAGAGGTCAGTCCCATAATTATAGGTAGCTACTAGCTAATTACTATTCGATTTGCAAGTAAACTCATGTACCACGTTAGAATTTCCACTCTGGATTTCAATTCTTGAGTTTTGTTTCTATTAGTTATTGATTACTTGTTCCTAAATCCAATAGCAATTCCTAACTTTAACACACTCTTTTCATTTTATTTGAACCTATGCAACACAAAATGCATGCCATTTACATTATTACTACACAGGGTTTATATACCATCTAGTTCCTTTTAGGGAGTTTCTCTAGAAGATCTAGGCAATTCACTTTAGAGCAATCTCTAAGCATTGAACATTCACTAAAACTGGAACCGCAATTAAACAAAAAAAGTGTCCAAGGTATTTGAGGTTAGTTAACGATATGACCGTAAGTTCCAAGAGAGACATGGATTTAAACCCCATCAAATCTTGGAGCTCCTACGAATTTGTGTACCTGTGGATTCAGCCTCTTCATATTGAGTACTTTGTTAAAGAAATAAATGAGGCGGTAGCAAATATTATTGAAGGAGCAAGGTTGCTGAAGACTCTTCCACATGGACATTGGTCAAACGAGGCATTAGAGCCAAGTTCAGACCATTGCGTGTTTGTTTAAGACCACAGTCGCTGATCCTAACCTTGAAATCCCCTGCTTCAATCGAATGATATACCCAAATCTCTTTAGTTTCTCCACGAAACAGAGGATTTATATATCGGCTCCTTTTAGCAAGAAGCGATGTTAATAAAAATAGCACCATTAGATATAACGTAGCAAGCGAGTCCCAAGTTCTTAAGTGGGCTGGTCCGATCCACTAAAAAGCAGGGCTGTCTTTTAGATTTGAGGAGTAAAAGGAAAATTCGAAAAGAGAAGTCCTCTTATATATATCGTAGAATTCTTCTCATGCATGGATGATGATATTTTGAAAAGAGAAAGCTGGGCTGTCGTTTAGATGTGGATGATGATATATTGAAGGGCAAGCAAGCCCTAATCTCATGCATTTACCTTATCCACCACGCTACCATAAAACAACGCAGCGAACAAAGACATATGAACATGAGTAATCAACGCCAAGCTTAGATACATACTGAAGAACCAAAGTCAAGCACAGTGGTCGAGGACTAAAAACAGAAACCATAGCTTTACGAAGAAACTAAAGATTGTGTAAACTACATTTGTATATAACACAATCTTTGTCATTCTCTTTTGAACCTGTGCAGCCAAAAGACAAATGCATTACATTATATATATGTTACACACAACGGGTTTGAGAATGCAATCCCGGTTTACTCAAAAGAGACAGAATCAAATTGGTTGCCTCATGAGAACAAACCACAACACATCTTGTAACTTGAAGCCGGTATTTGACCTGTTTCCCTTATATATTCGACTTCAGTTGCTGCCTTCTCGGCATCACGGGCTTGTCTAGCTTCCGCTGAAGCCCGTTTCTCTTCCGACCTTTGCTTCGCCATTGCGATTTTCTTCACCATCTTTGCTTCTGCCTCAGCTTTCATCTGCTCAACTTTAGCCTACCAACATAAATTTCAACAATGCCTTTAACAGTGATGACCAAGAAAAAGCTTCAACAAAATAGGAATTTGATACGAAAACGCCTCAACATACCTCAATACGTCGCATTTCTGCTTCGAGTTTGGCTTTCTCCTGACTTTCCCAAGCTTGGATTCTGATTTCCTCACGCTTATACCTAAAAGTTACAAGACAAGACGTTCTTTAAAGTCTTTTTTTTTACTGAACAAGCAAAACATTTGAAGACAGAGCAAATACAAACCTTGCATTATGTTTGGATTTCTCTGCTTCTTCCCACGCAGTCGCTCGTTTATCAAACTCAATCCTCTGCGTCTCCTCTGCATCTACACTTTTCTTCTTGTGATTGTTCTCCTCTTCTTCTTTACTTGCCCAAGCCGCTATGTTCATCTTCCCTAGTTGAACTCCGAGAGCTACTATCTCTTTTCTCGTCTTCGCTTTCACTTCCTCCTCAGATATTTCTCTTCTTGTGTCTTGTGACAAAGAAGACTCTTCTTGTTTCCCTCCTCCTCTAGGAGTTGAAGGCAGAGAAGAAGTCGGGCTGCGAAAAGGAGTCGTTGCATCAACTGGTGTCACAGATCTTGAAGGTTCTTGACTCGGTACTGGCGTCATTTCAGTTCCCATATCTCTCATACACACAGAACGAATCGCAGGAACAGCTTCACACATAAAAAGAAACACTTATCTTGTCAAGATCCTACAGCGGAAAAACAACAACCTAGTCACATTATATATTACCTGATGCATCCTTTGTTGTGTCCACAAGATCATTGCTTTGTGTGGATTGATCGATCAACAAACTTCCTCCATATCCTTGAGCTGGAGTTGGATGTAGCCTGGATTTGTTAAGCTCGTAACCTGCATTATCAGGCACAACTCTCACGGGGATTCTGTTCCCTTGACCATGCTTCCTCATCACCATGTTCTGTCTGCTCATTATCCACTTCTCAGCATCATTCCATTTGGATGGCATTTGTCTCGAAGGGTATGCTCTTGAGACGTGATTCTGATTCGAACGGTCACCGCGAACACCGTGAAACTCGAAGCTTGAGGAGCTAGCGTTACTGTCGTAATCCAGATTTTCGTCTTCTTGAGGTCTCAGAGCAATGCTCAAGTCAACCTTTTTAAACTGCTGAGGTCTCGGTTGATCGTTTTCTCTCATAACATCCTCACATTGATGTCTCGTGGCTTGATGATTGCTCTCGGTTAAGTCCAAAACCGGCGCAATTGGCAGTTTAGCTACTTCTATATCCGTAGTTGAAGTCGCCACTAGAAGTCACACACAACAAGAACAGAGCAAAGACACAAACTTTAGCCAAAGAATTCATGAACAGAGAAGAGACGCATAAAATCTAGCCAAGTTAAATCGATCAAGACTTCAATTGTAACATGGAGCATTGAAATGAAAGAAGAACAGAGCAAAAAACACAAACTTTAACCAAGAACAGAGCAAAAAACACAAACTTTAACCAAGAACAGAGCAAAGAACACTAACTTAAGCCAAGAACAGAGCAAAAACAGAGACTTTAGCGATTCTAGGACTTAAAAGGGATTACATTATCAAATGAGACACGGAAGAGAGAAAGACAAACCATTATCATCATCGTCTGAGTCAGGTTTAGAAGCTAACAAGCTGTTCTTGGAGAATTCGGTGTCATCTGAAACCTGAAGACGGACAGGAGATGTTCTTGAAGAGTTACTGTTAGAGACTTCTTTCTTCTTGTTATTGTGTGTACCCATTAGCTTCATCCGCAGCTTCGTCGGCGAGATTATGCTCTTCTGCAAGATATAAACCTAAACTTGTTGAGTTTTTCTTGATTTCTTTATCATCAATTCAACATTTTAAACTTTTTTCTGATAAAGCAAAAGCTACACACAAATTTCAGAAGAAAAAAAGTTAATATCTTTCTCCCAGAAATTCTTCAACAGAAGAAACTCACTGTAACATAATGGGTGCTAAAATCCAAGTTCCATATCCAATAATTTCAATGAAGGAGAAAGAAGAGAAAGTGAGAGTGTAACAGAGAAGTACAAAAGAAAAGAAGACTGAAAACCAGAGAAATGTTGTACTTGAAGAGTGAGAAAGAGAAGATATAATTTTACCTGCACCTTCTCTATCCTCTCGTAATCCATTGCCAATGCCAAATCCTCTCTCTATCTCTCTATATATGTCTATATATTTACAGACACATATATGTGTATATATATGTAAGAAGTTTAAGACAAGACAAGCTTTCTTGCTCTAATCCTCCTCTCTCCTATGAAGAAGAAGAGAGACAAATGGGTGTTTTCTAGCTTGTTTTTTAAATTTTATTTTTCTCTAATAGGGTTTTGGGAATTTTTAGATAATGATTGAGAAAAGACGGAATTTTTTGTATTTTTTATATATTTGGGAATCGGTTTTTTGTATTTGTGTAACAGAAAAAAAAAAGTGAAGATGGGGCACTGTGCACGCCGGTCCACATTTGCTTCTCATCATCATCATCACCGTTTGATTTCGACACGTCACCTAACTCATCTTTGTCTTTTTAATTACAAAACAGTTTTTGAGTACTTTGTTATATTGTTCATCCATGAATACATTTTTATTAGTTTCTATCAAATTAAATCTAGAAAACGACTTCAATTTTTTTAAAATTAAAAAAATGAAAGTATATATACACTCAAAGTCTCAAAATATAAAAGTGTATATAGTACAGCTTTATCTGGTCAATAATACAAGTGTAATACTCCTTTCGTTTTTTAAAGATAAATTTTCTAGTTTTTTCACACAGATTAAGAAAAAGTTGATTTTCAATCATTAGTGCATAGATTTCTGCAATAAAACAACTTTTTATAATTTTAAACCAATAAAAATCCAACAAATATAATCATTGTATCTGAAAAAGTGCATCAAAAAGGTAAAAATTTTATCTTTGTGAAACAACATATAATGTCTAGAAAATTCATTAAAAAAAAACGGAGGGAGTATTATTTTTTGTTGGGCGTAATTTTTCCATTACAATGATTTTGGGGTTTTTCAGATGCAAATATAACAAAGGAGAAAAACTTAACATACTACATGCCAAAAAGAAAAATTTACTGATATCTGAAAAGTCTATAAGTAGGTTAGTGAAAGTGGATTTATTATTTACCTCTGTCCCCATCTCGACACTAGCTAGCCATAATGAGCTTAATCATTTATTTTTCCTTGTGAACTTTGTTTTTGGATTCACTGATTCACTCACTAATTAATGCAGCCTAAACTTTTTTTTTGTTAAAGATCTTCATATGCAGCCTAAACTTTGAAGAAAGAACAACATATTTGCATACATTTGACTCAATGTGTAGAATTCCAAAAATAAGCTAGATGAAATAGCATAGTATAAGAAGTATAAGAATTTGGTTACAGAAATTCGTTTTGTGTTTATATTATTTGTATACGCTCTTATGGTTAATTTTAAGAGTAATAGCAGTATTTATGAACTTGGTAATGATGATAGTGACAAAAAAACCAGAGGAAATAATTATGATCTTCTTTATTTTTTGGTTTTAAAGAAGAAACCGAAGAAGTGGTTGTGCGTAGATTCGTAATGCAATGTAAGTGATACAAAATCAGTACTGAAACGTAAACAATCGAACTGACACTTTCTCCACTTTAGGGCATTACGTTTCTCTGTCACTTTGACCGTTGACTGCCTCTCTTCTTCTCTCTTCTCATAAATTTGTATTTAATATTACTGTATATATTTTCATCATGTAGATCTTAATTTGTAGGAAATCTTTTCCCTATTAATCATGTTGCCAAAATCGGTATATTATGTTGGCTTAACTTAAAATTTTAAGCTGCAAATATGTAAGATTAACATTAACCGTAAACTTAAGTTAGGATGCAAAATTTGCATGGTATACTCATTAACTTAGCTTAGGTTAGATATTCAATAGAATCTAAAATTTTACCAAGATATAGTTTTATCGCCTGATCACTTTAAAAAAAAATACGAACATATAAACAATAGCGAGCGTGTACGTATTGCGAGGCTCAAGTTCAGCTAGATTCCTATAGACTAAACCTTGTTTTCCTCAAAAGAGATATTTTTAAAATAGTATTTTCTTAAAGACATGCTTTTACACAGAAACTATATGAGATTACTTTCTTTTCTGAGACATGGTTTTATTTTTAGATGGACATGTTTTTCACCAAAAAAAATAAACATAAAAGATTATTCATCAATGAAGAAATAAAACTAATACTTTCTCTCTTAGTTTGCTCTAAAATATTCTTGACTGCTATGACGTAGTGTAATTAACAAGATTACTTGTGAATGTGATATAGTAGATTTATTATTTAGAGTGTCATCATTTTTTTGTTAAAGATTTAGAGTGTCATCATAATCGACTTTTAGCGTTTTTCTTTTAGTAGAATGTACATTTTGGTCTTCAAATGTTAAAGAAATGATCCTCCAAAGTCCAAACCACACATCCAAACTTAAAATCTTTCACTTTCACTGCTTCTTGTTGTTGATTACTGTTTCCAAAATCATATCAATAAGTAGAGTCAATTATTTTGGACTCTTGCACAGGGAGTGCGTACGTTGTATTATCACATGTGTGATAAAAAGTAAAAACGTACACACATGCAAACACTATACACAATTTTTAGTCGAATCGTAACTATATAAAATGTTTTTCTATGTTGTGTGATAATTTTATAGTTTGGTTCCTGCCTCTAGTTGAAAATAAACTTGAGCCAAATTTTCGAAATTTGTGGGTTGTCTCTGTATGAGTTTGAGAGGAAATGATATTGCATGGTTAGACTTTTGGAGAAAGATCTTTGACCCGATTTACACTCACTCAACATTCTTTTCTTCTAACAAATAGCAAAACAAACAATTATATATTAGTTTTGTTTCCTTACAAACAAATAATCAACGCTGATGTGATTGTGATGTACATACTGGTCGCTGATTTATTTTCATTTTCTCAGTTGACTAATAAAGAAAAGTTTGTACTCATTTTTCTGGTCAAAAACGAAAAGATTTATGCTCATTTAAAAGAATGTTCAAACACACACATATAAACGGCTATAGTCGAAATCAATTTATACGCTTCATAATGGGCTTGTTGAAATGGTGCGTCAATTTGATTTTGGTGGTCGGTGTATGAGATAAGTCAAAAGTGCATTTCCTCGCACACAATTTCTGACATTTTTTCCATTTCACATTGCCATTATCATTTAATCAACTGATGTGAATTTAATTTAGAAATTTATATCATTTGCAAATGTTCAAAGCCATGAGTTTGACTATAAGAGTAGTAAATAGAAATGAAGACAAAACGTATCTCTCTAGTGGGTCCATATAGAGACTACCCAAAAAGATTTTGCCAAGCTTCTTTGATCTATAATTGTAGATCCAACATTGTCTTAATTATCTTGTTGGTGGAACCTAGATTCTAGAGTAGCTTTGTTTTGCGAGCGCAATGAAGGATCTGTGAGAAACGTTTAGATGTAGACAAAAGCTTCCAAGGACGAGTACGTGATCTTCCTTTTAAATGAAAGAGTCCATTTATATTGAACTTTCTACGAAGTGGAATGATTTGTACCGTTTTTTCCTTTTCTCTGGAATGATTGATACTCTATTCTGCAATCCTCTTTTATAAATTTGATGATTGATAATGTAGCAGTAAAACAAATTTCACGCATGAAGAAAATTTGTACATGACCTTTTTTATTTCTCTGGTCTCTATTTCTCAATAGGTATATATATCTCGCAAAAATAAAACAAAATTCTAACTATAACTTGACGAAGTAAACAAAAATCCAAACTTTAGAAAGGTAAAAAAATACAAATAGAAAATCTTTAGTGATAATGTTAATATGAAGGCCTATTAGCAAATGCATCTTGAAGAAAACCGATTCTGTTTCTGTCTCTCTCTATCTCTGTATCTTAAGACAAGAAGACCCACACAAGCATCCTCATCTTCTAATTATCATGAACAACAATTTGAATTATGAAATATAATTGACTAGATTTCGGGATATTTGACAGAGTAAAATTATTAAAAAATGACCAAAGATATGAGTTACCGGAAGAGAGATATTAGGAGGGTGTATATAATAGTTCTTCACAAAATTGATTCTTCACATTTCTAAAGTAAACTTTCTATTAGATTCCTTACAAAATCCACCAGATATTGAATCACTGAATATTGCATGTATTTAATGGAATTGGAAAACTGATATCTTAAATAAAACGGGAATATAAATTATTTGAAAAAACTGATTACAAATTCTTAATCCAATAACACATATTTATAAAGGAATTGATAAAACACATACTTGAATAACACAACACAAGAATTTAAAGAGATTCAATGAGCTAAGGCGTGAATCAAAAGTGGCATTAATCTTCGTTTTCTAAATGTTGAAGGCCAAGTAATCATCATTTTAACCTCTTCATAGGTCTATTGGGACTCTCAAGCCGTCGTGAGCCAGTTTCACTGGAATCCCTTCCCTAACAAAACCAAACATTGCAACAACATAAGATTACGCCTCCTCTGTTTCCATGCATAGATTCTTCGGATAGATGAGATATACCTTTTAGACCATTCTTCAAGAAACTCGTTGTCCTTGTGGTGATCAAACTCGTGAGTCATTCCGATTAGAAGAGCCCTCTTTGGACTCAGTCTTTTGATCGTGTCGAGTGTCTACAGAAACCAAAAGTAAGCATACAAAAACCCATAAAAGGAAGAAAATAAAAACACCTTCA